TTACACGCCTCCTGATTGGCTGCCTGAGTGTGAGACGCCTCCTAATTGGCTGGCTGAGTGTCAAAGGCCTCCACATTGGCTAACTGAGTGTTACATGCCTCCTGATCGGCTGGCTGAGTGTTACACACCTCCTTATATGAGTGCTACATGCCTCTGATTGGCTGGCTGAGTGTTACACGCCTCCTGATTGGCTGGCTGAGTGTTAAATGCCTCTTGATTGGCTGACTGAGTGTTACACACCTCCTTATTGGCTGGCTGAGTGTTACACACCTCCTTATACGAGTGCTACATGCCTCTGATTGGCTGGCTGAGTGTTACACACCTCCTGATTGGCTGGCTGAGTGTTAAATGCCTCTTGATTGGCTGGCTGAGTGTTACACGCCTCCTGATTGGCTGGCTGAGTGTTAAATGCCTCTTGATTGGCTGACTGAGTGTTACATGCCTCCTGATTGGCTGACTGAATGTTACATGCCTCCTGATTGGCTGCCTGAGTGTGAGACGCCTCCTCATTGGCTGGCTGAGTTTTACACGCCTCCTTGTTGGCTGGCTGAGTGTTACACGCCTGCTGATTGGCTGGCTGAGTGTCAAAGGCCTCCGCATTGGCTACCTGAGTGTTACATGCCTCCTGATCGGCTGGCTGAGTGTTACACACCTCCTTATACAAGTGCTACATGCCTCTGATTGGCTGGCAGAGTGTTACACGCCTCCTGATTGGCTGGCTGAGTGTTAAATGCCTCTTGATTGGCTGGCTGAGTGTTGCAAGCCTTCTGATTTGCTGGCTGAGTGTTACATGCCACCCAATTTGCTGGCTGAGTGTTGCACGCCTTCTGATTGCCTGGCTGAGTGTAAAGGCCTCCTGATTGGCTGGCCGAGTGTAACACGCCTCCTGATTGGCTGGCTGACCGTTACATGCCTCCTGATTGTCTGGCTGAGTTTTATACACTTCCTTATTGGCTGGCTGAGTGTTACACGCCTCCTGATTGGCTGCCTGAGTGTAACAAGCCTCCGGATTGGCTGGCTGAGAGTCAAAAGCCTCCTGATTGGCTGGCTGAGTGTTACACGCCTCGTGTTTGGCTGGCTGAGTGTTACACTCTCCTGATTTGCTGACTGAGTGTCAAAGGCCTCCTGCTTGGCTGGCTGAGTGTTACACGCCTCCTGATTGGCTGGCTGAGTTTTAAATGCCCCCTTATTGGCTGGCTGAGTGTTATACGTTTCCTGATTGGCTGGCTGAGTGTCAAAGGCCTCCTGATTGGCTGGCTGAGTGTTACACGTCTGCTGCTTTGCTGGCATAGTTATCCACGTCGCTTGAGTGGCTCCGTGAGTTTTACACGCCTCCTAATTGGTTGGCCGAGTGTTACACGCCTCCTTATCGGCTGGCTGAGTGTTAAACGCCTCCTGTTCGGCTGGCTGAGTGTTACACGCCTCATGATTTGCTGGCTGAGTGTTACATGCCTCCTGATTGGCTTGCTGATTGTTACACGCCTCCTGATTGGCTGCCTGAGTGTCATAGGCCTCCTGATTGGTTAGCTGAGTGTTACACATCTCTTGATTGGCTGGCTGAGTGTCAAAGGCCTCCTGATTGCCTGGCTGAGTGTTACACGCCTCTTAATTGAATGGCTGAGTGTTACACGCCTCCTTATTGGCTGGCTGAGTGTTTCACGCCTCCTGATCAGCTGGATGAGTGTTACACGCCTCTTAATTGGCTGGCTGAGTGTTACACGCCTCCTTATTGGCTGGCTGAGTGTTTCAAGCCTCCTGATCAGCTGGCTGAGTGTTACACGCCTCATGATTTGCTGGCTGAGTGTTACATGCCTCCTGATTGGCTAGCTGATTGTTACACGCCTCCTGATTGGCTGCCTGAGTGTCATAGGCCTCCTGATTGGTTAATTGAGTGTTACACGCCTACTGATTTGCTGGCTGAGTGTGAAGGCCTCCTGATTGCCTGGCTGAGTGTTGCACGCCTTCTGATTGCCCGGCTGAGTGTAAAGGCCTCCTGATTGGCTGGCCGAGTGTAACAAGCCTCCTGATTGGCTGGCTGACCGTTACACGCCTCCTGATTGGCTGCAGGAGTTTTATACACTTCCTTATTGGCTGGCTGAGTTTAACACGCCTCTTGTTTTGGGGGCTGAGTGTCAAAGGCCTGCTGATTCGCTGACTTAGTGTTACATGCCTCCTGATTGGCTGGCTGAGAGTCAAAAGCCTCCTGATTGGCTGGCTGAGTGTTACACTCCTCCTGATTGGCTAGCTGAGTGTCATACGTCTCCTGATTTGCTGGCTGAGTGTCAAAGACCTCCTGATTTGCTGGCTGAGTGTTACATGCCTCCTGATTGGCGGGCTGAGTATTAAACGCCTGATTGGCTGGCTGAATGTTACACGCCTCCTGATTGGCTGGCTGAGTGTTACACTCTCCTGATTGGCTGGCTGAGTGTTACACACCTGCTGATCGGCCGGCTGAGTGTCAAAGGTGTCCTGCAGAGAGACAGCTCCATGAACGTGTTGTAACCCAAACAAATTGCTATCTAACAACCTTGATTCTATCTCACAGGGCAATGCTAGTGCTGACGTAGCTGCGAAGGCCACAGTCGAACAATGTATTGCGTTGACTAACTATTAACACCTACAGTTAATTTGCAGGAATTGCAGACAACAGAGGAACTCCAGAGAAAAACGCTTTCATTCACTAACAAGTGTGTGTGTGTAAGTGTGGCAAGTGCCATTGTGTTTACAGACTGTACAACTTAAATAATCCGTAGATGGTTGAATAGTGTCTTTTTATATTGTGTGTAGTGACACTGAATATCTGTGAATCTGAACCAACTGAATCTCCTTGTATTTTCTGTCTTTTGTTTTGATTTGGCAGTGGGACGACCCACAGGGAGTAGTCGTGGGATATGCACCCCTCCTTGCATGCAGTGTGGTATGATTGAAGGGTAGTGGTCACTTCACTGGTTTGTAGGTTTGATTTTCCTTGCAGTGTAAGTTGTAGTGTTTGCAGTGATCAGTGTGCACACGAGGTGATTTCTATTGGGGTCTGCGATAGAGTCTCCCCGCGGTGAGTACCCTGTCCTGCCTATTTACAACCATTTAATCTTATTGTATTTTATTTTATGGTGAAGCCATTTGCTATTTATACTCTAGTTGTTTCAACTATTTTAGTATTGTGGAATAAAATAATTTGGACTAGTTTTATGGTTTCTTCTTTCTTTTTCAGGTCTTTTGCCAGTATGATTTATTTTTAATAAATATTATTGGAGAGCTGAATGCACGTCTCCCGCTTTTCTTGAACTCTTTAAAAATTGTGTCAACGCTCAGATGGTTGGTGTCTAGGGCTGGTATAGTTCTATTCTGTGTATCGGTCCCCATTGAAACCTGGGTGGGGTCACATGTAGGCATGAGACAACATCGTGCCTAACAAAAAAGGGAAAATGGCACATTAGAAAACAAATTTGCTAAATGTTGCGTAGGAACAGGTTTGACATGGACAAAAAGCACAACTTATTGTTTTAATGCACACAAGGGCCAGAGTAAGGAACAGAAGTGGTCTCGGCCCATTTGAAATCCTATTTGGGATACCACTTAACACTGGGGTTGGTCCTGTTTAAAAGTAAACTCCCTGACACCGATCAATGGGAAGATGAAATGCTGTGTTATTGTGCACACATGTCCCCTGTGCTTCTATCCACAAGCAGGTGAAAGCAGCCATACAAATGCTACTGAGAAAAACTATACAACCAACACCAGGTGACAGGATCATGATGATGTTACGCCTCACAATGGAAACAGCAGTTAAGGTCCCTGAGAGAGTAACTTGGATCCATGGCAGCCACTGCAGACTCAACTTCAAGCATGCTTCAAAATCAGGAAAGCCAAAGAATAGGGCAAAAAAGGGGGGTACTACCAGCATCCCTGTTAGTCCAACCAAACCTGAGACAGCCTGTCTGGTTAGACAGCTGTATCAAGCAAAGAAACCAGTCCAACAAGTCAGGGGTGAAACAGCACCTTCCTCCACCAGTAGCATGCAAAGCTCCAACAAAGTGACGTGCAGAGTGAAGCTCTGTGTCCCCTGCGAGGGATAAGCGATGGAACCCAGATCTTTGAGAGAATTTCAAATAACATAACTAATGATGTTTCTCACTATAATGACTTCCTGCATGAAGAGGAAAGTAAGGACTGTCCGGCTCCTGAAGGATGGAGCATATGTGCCTGACTGACCAACGGCGAAATTTTAGAATACACTGGTAAAAGTTTTGAGACCCTTGATTACTGTCTTTGTAATGTTTAATACTTTGAGATGTTGTATAAACCCTTACACTAAAGCTCTAATTATAACTTTGGTTAAATCTTTGCTAGTGTGTGCAAATTCCAGTAAGAATCTCTGCATCTTTAGAATAGATCAGATTGTTTAAGATTTGGATGAAGTGTAATCAGATTTTTCTTATTTATATTCCTTATTTTTCCTATCTTTGTAAGGTCACTCATGATTATATCACATAGATTTATCATACATAACCAAAATGACTGCTAATAATAAAAAAAACTCTTGATTGATTTTTTTCCTATAATCCATGGATGTTTTGACTGTTTGTTTGTTTAGTTCTTAAAACAATGTTTTGTGAGCATTAAAATGCTCTAAGGGAGGAATGTAATGGCAATTTTTAAGAACCTATAAAACCCTTTGACCTGGTCGTTGTTAAACGATACACAACTGTTAAAGAGGCTATTTTATGCATATAACCTTTAGCCCTGTTTCTAACTACACTAACCAAGCTAACAGCGGGATGTTGAGACTTCACTAAGAAGCCAAGGACATGATCATCTCACCACACTGTCTGTTTACTGTCCCAGAACTCAGGAATGTGTAACTGTGTGCTCCAACAGGGATAAAACCATACTGCTTCTTCCAATCGGGGCTCTTTTGGACTTTCACATACGAGAGCGTGAGATGGTTGCATCGAGACCATTCATGGATGACTTGAATAAAACCTTACAGAAAGACAAGATCATACTTCGTATGCTTTATTAAACAAATTGCCACCACACCCACTGTACACTACCTGCTGAGTAGCAAACAGACACAGTTAGAGAATACCTGGTGAACACAATGGAACATTTAGCAGATAAAGAACCAGGTATATGACACAGGAGTTAGTAGAGACCAAACACAGAGCTAAAAGAGAGTGAATATTGGACTTAGACTACACACAAACACCACTCCAAATAAATTATCATGTTGCTCCATAACTGCTGAACTGTTAGCCGGCATGTTCAATACATAAACTTGTCTTCATAGTTTGTTTCTGCTGCAAATAAGTGGCTAAACAAATGAACAGATGCAGATTTAAGAAACAGTTTCAGGATAGAACTCCCCCTAAAACTAATCTTCTGAAAACAAAAAATGAAAACAAACTGATGTCTGAACTTTTGGTCCACTGAACAGTTTACTGACCACAAGGATGCCCCTCACTAACTCTTGTATGTATTGTCCAGGTTACAATGCAGTAATATTGGTCCAATATCCACACTTGTGGTTTTGGTAAATGTCAAGTGTCTACTTGTGTGACGTATTTCCAGTATTGTCACAGTGCTACAGTGCCTGTTCAGGACACAAACGTGTGGAAGTTTATCAGAGCTTACTGGTGCAAACTTGATTGATAAGGACCTCCAGTGGCTCCACAAAATACGAATACGTAGCTCAGTTGAGCTCATTTGCTTTCTCTGAAGAAATACATAGGATCAACCATACAATATTATAGTTACAATGACATGACGGTAAAAAGTCCAATAATAACCTTACACATAAACACCACACAACATTAAAGTCTACTACAATCCACCCTTGTGTTCCACCATCGCTCCCTTTGACATTTCAACCAGTCAGGACTCATCAGTGGAAGCAGATCTGAGGTCAGCTGTGGGAGACCAGACATCTGTTGATTTGCTACGTTTCATTTCGCTGAAATAAGAACAAAAATGAACACATTGAATGAGAAGAAGAATGTAGACACTGGTTGTGTTGCTGTAAAAAGGTCAAACTGTCAGCTGGTGAATGGAGAGATCCACAGAGCTGCAGAGATGTAAGAAAGTTTCTGTTTTCAGAACATATCAGTGACACTAAACTCCTATGGATAATATAGTGTATAGTTTTATCTTATTTATTTGAATGCAGTAAAGCCATAGACAAAGTAAACAGTTTTTAGAATATGTACAATGTGCATGTAGTGGTTGTCATGCTAACAGCTGATATAACCATGTTCACATCTTAATTTAGAATGATAATTAGCTGTAAAAACACAAAAGAATAGCTGAGGATGACATGAATATCATCAGCTTTATCTATTCAAATTGCACAAATGAATGTGTTGACCTGATAATGGCACAATATGAAAATCCAGATAATCACCAAAGTTATTACAATTCATCCTGAGGGGATAATGAATGTCACATTTGATCACAATCCATCCAGTAGTTATTAATACATTTCACTCTGAACTTAAGTGCTGGGCCAACAGACAAATGGACAGAAAGAATTAAAGATAGACAAGCAGAAAGATACAGACAGACAAACATATACTCATATGTACAGACAAACTGACAGTTGCAGACAGACTGACAGTTACAGACATTACCATTCAAAGAGCTCCCAACATCAGTTATGGTATGTTCCCACCGAGTAGATTAGACAAATGCAAAGACATGAACAGATGCAAATTCACGATGGGTGATGCGAATGACATGAATTGGGTATATTCGCACAAATTGAAAATATTCAACTTTGAGAGAAAAATTCATGCCTATGCCAGGGCTTTTGCAGAGCTGTGTGGGGAGGACCACAGAGACAGAGCTGCTGCTCACCAACAGACAGCTGTTTGAGCCCAGGGAAGTCTGCAGAAGAAAACTGGGTGCAGGGTCGGAGCCTCTGTAGGAATAATCACCTGTAGTCACTAGGGCTGCCCCTTAACAGTCAAGTCAACTGTTGGTCGACAAGAAGAGTCTTAGTCGACGCACTTTTCATTAGTCAGATATTTGCTGAAAAACTAAAATATCATCAAACAGGAGCTGCATCTTGTCAATGGGACAATTGTTGCAACACCGACCTTTCCGCGCTGCTGTATGTGCTAACTGCTAATTAGCTGCTGCCACTAGTATAGCAGCTGACTGTACCCAACTACATGCTCGAAGTACTGGGGGAGGTTTGTTTACATCACAAGCTGCTGTGGAATTGGCCGGAAGCTTAGCCAGAGCGGGACAACGGAGCTGGGCTGGCACTGGGACTGAACACAGCCTCCAACACCATCGGAGGACACAGGTGGAGGATAGGGAGGAGGAAAGGCATGAAGGAAGAGGAGCGAGTTTGTGGCGAGTAAATTTGAAAGTAACTGTTATACCTCATTTATCATATTGAGTTCTGTGTTTTGAACAATGAGACTTGTGTACTGTTATACTTTGTTGAAACAATGAACTAAATGTTAAGTCTCCTTGCGTGTTGTTCTGACACATTCAGGTTTATTACCGCTTTTTTCGTTATCCCTTAACAGGCAGCTGTTAAAATATACTGTTTATATTTAAATAACAAAATTTATTAATAAATGTTTGACCATCAGTTGACTAATGACAATTTTACACTTGGTCCACACTGCTGACCTGAGCAGCATGTGTCAGCTGTGGGGCTGTTGTGGAGCTGCTGCTGCCAGCCCTTTCTGTCCATACTTTTGTATAGTTTGTTTTTGATAAATAACATATAACAAAAGCCTTCTTAACATATGAATGGATTCTGTCCAAAGGCCTTTTAACCTGAAACAAGTACAAGAGGTATTGAGTTTAAAAAATACATTTATATTTTTTTCCATGTCTGACATATTCTACACATATAGGCATTGAAACTGTAGTGAAAGGTGTATATGTTGCTGGTATATTGTCAGTATGACTATGACTTTCACTGTCTATTTTTGCTAGGAACCACGTGTGGCTTGCAAAAATAGCAAGAATAAAAAGAATAGCAAGATGTCAACTCTCTAGTGAAGCTTTGCTGAAGCTGAGATGCGCGACTCATGCAGGCAGTGTGACTGCTCTATACTGAAATAAAAAGCAAGACATTCCACCACGCACATGCAGGTTGGCAGTGTGAACGAGCTGTTAGAACTTCTGGAATTAAAAAATGGCTTTATCCTTACTCTCCTTCTCATCAGTCTGTGAGTCCAACTGATCCAAAATATAATTTTAAGCTCTACCAGGTCCCTGTTCTCTGACCACTGTCTACAGTCTACAGACCAGACTGTCAGTTGCTGATGACTTCTTAGAGCTTTGACAGTGTTCACATAGCATGATTATGTTTTTTTCAGACCTTTAGTTTCATTTGATGTTATATGACCTTTGTCCTGTGGTACTGCTGACTTACAGTAGTTCCTCCTTCAGCCGAGCCAGTTTGTCGTACAGCCGATCATTCTTCACTTGGATGGGATTGTTGGGGACGAACCAGGCTGCTATAAACTTACACACCACCACAACATGCTGCAGAAACAAGCATAAGATATGCCCAGAAACAATTTAACTGGCTTCTTCGGTTCAAATGGATAACACTGATGAAGTAGGCAAAATCTAAAGTACAAACCTCAAATAGGATGACGAAGGCAAAGCGCACAGCCAAGACCAACCAGAACTGAGAAGTCAGAGTGTAGTCCTCGTCACTCCTATAATCTCTGTAGCTGCATGCACGCACGCACGCACGCACGCACACACACACACACGCACACACACACACACACACACACACACACACACAGACAAACAGACAGATTTGTTGTTCTGTTTATCAGATCTTCTGCTCTTCTGTTAAGTTTAGATCTAGCAGTAAGGTTGTCTCACCTGCACTGTGTCACATTAAAAGTGTTGTTTACGATCAACTGAACTGGAAGAAAATCTTTTTTAACTGCTGGGTGTGTCACAAAGGCAGTGGACAGAGTGTCATTTATGTAGCCCTGCATGCAGCTGCAACAAGAGCACAAAACACATACGATGAGACAGAACACAGTCTGGTGACATATTATCAGGTGTTTCTACCAGCCGAAACATAACTGACTGTGTGCGAGTGCTTCCATTAGCACAGGGGCCAAAACGGTAACGATAGACGAGGCGTGGAATGAAGTCTGATGACACTCCAATGACCAGACCATTAGCAATCACTGCCAACACACCAATGGCCTCCAACACCTTTGTCCACACACCTGCAGGCAGGAGAATGTACTGTTACACACATACACATGTCCACTATAAGGTGTAAAATGATTAAGCCAACTAACCTGTACCTGCTACACCTGCATGTATTCACAAGCTGTAGCAAAAGGCACATAAGCACAACACGTGACTTGAAAAAGATAACCAGACCTGCGTACAGGTACATGTTGTGAGTGGAGTGCATACAGTGAACTGTATGAGGAGTAGAACGATTCAGCCAACTAGCGCTCGGTACCTTCACAGCATACCTGCTACGCATACCTACTCAGAGGTAGAGCGGATTCTCCCTCAATCGGAAGGTAGGTTGTTTGTTCGGCTCCTCCCCGCTGCATATTGATAAGATACTGAACCCCCAAATTGCTCCCGATGCTGTGTCATCTGTGTGGGAATGTGAATGAAGTTAGTTTCTGTGTGAATGTGTTTGAAAGGGCGAATGTGTCATGTAGTGTAAAAGCACTTTGAGCGGTCGGACACATTGATATGAGATCAAACCTTCAACCTTCTGATGAGTGGACGACTCACTCTACCTCCCAAGCCACAGCTGTGACCCATGTGACCCTTGCTGATTTTGAGTGATTATTGCACTTGATCTGATTAATGAATGTAAATTAAATAATACTTTGTTTGTGATGACAACTGTGTCGTGCTCCAGTCTCTATATTTTTTGTGTTCCATGACTTTTTCTCTCATCCTGACCTGCTGGAACAGCACCCTCTATGTTTAGGTTAGGTGTTTGCTGCAGCCCCATGTGCACTCCACTTACAATGCATACCTGTGCACACACCTAGATACCTAGTTATCTTTTTATTTTATCTCGCCAAATTATATATGTGCACATATACACGCAGGTAGATGTAGCAGGTACGTGAAGGCACTAAGCGTTAGTTGGCTAAATCGTTCTACACCTCAAATGCTACACCTGATTTAGTGCAACGTATGCCACACCTACCTGTACGATGTGTAATCTCATATGCACACAAACTCTACATCAACAAACTACACCTTACACTTTGATGGTAGGTGCGTCGCTGTCATTTATGATCACGCTTGCTTCTCTGTCTCTCTCCTCTGCAGGACAGAAGACAGGGCAGCTCCACACACACAGACACACGGAAAGATCAGACAGACACACAGCACAACAGAGTGACAGGACGGAGACAGCGGAGAGGCTGTGGTGCAGTTTAATTAAAAGTACAAAGTAGAAAAGCGATATTTCCTTGTGCTTTGTCCACAGTTGTTATAACTGCAGTCATAATGAGTTAGGAACAAGCTAAAAGGAAAGCTGTCTATATTTAGTATTACATTAGCCATCAGTTTGCCATTAATCTGAGAGGACAGGAAGAAGGACTGATACTGACAACTGTGTCTGTGTGTTTGATGTCAGGAATATTATTTATTTTACTGACATTTTAGATTTTGTTTCCAGTGAGATATAATTCAGTTTATATAGTGACTTTGGTTTCGTAAACTTTTCTGTTGCTGTTCTAAGCAATATTCAGTTATATGTTTTACAGTATCTGCTGTCCACAATTGCTTTATTGTGTATCAAAAGCTTCTCCTTCAATTCATGAAATCCCTGTAGCATCTGAAGGGAGCAGGACATATTGATATCCACAGCCTCTGAGAAGTGGTGAGCAAGAGCTGTTTACTGTGTTGACCCTTATTAAATCACCTGAAAACATATAGCAGGCTGGGAGAAATCCGGTAAACCTAGCCTCTTCCAAATTTTATTTTAGCAAGAGTAGCTTCTCATGTTTTAGCCTTGAAACACATTGCATTTCAATTCAATTCAATTTTATTTGTATAGCATCAATTCACAACAAAAATTATCTCAGGACACACAAATAGAGCAGGTCTAGACCATACTTCTTATAACATTAATTAACCACAAATTAACATTTACAGAGACCCAACAGTTCCCACCATGAGCAAGCACTTGGCGACGGCGGCAAGGAAAAACCTCCTTTTAAGAGGCAGGAACCTCCGGACAGCCCCCGGCTCTAGGTTTTTAAACACTGTTGTATAACATGTCATGGAAGAAAGTAGAGATTAGTACTAGTGTAACATAATATGACACTGTGGGTTGGTTTTCCTCCTGTCCTCCCCAATTTTTTGAGACACCAGCCACCACTTTTTTTACTAAAGCTTTTTTGGGATCCGTTGCACACCTAAGACACAGAGCTCACCAATGTCGTTGGTCTTCCTAGGAACCAGCCGCCGTTCCAGGCGGACCATCTTGATGGCGTCCAGGCGGATCTCAAAGACGTTGTTGATGAGAGCCAGCAGTGGGGCGAGAGGGAACGCTGCTACAAATATGGTGGTGAAACTGAACTGGACCACTGGATGGGACAGACAATAAGTTGGCAACATCGAAATTAGTATCATTTTTATGAGAAATGTAGAATGGTAAAACGCTTTTACATTGCATGCCACATTCACACACATTCATACAGTGATAGCAATGAGTTAAGTTCTGTTTGTGAAAATTGCCGTCCCTGTATGGCAACATTCACACTGATGCACAGCATCTGGAGCCATTTGGGGTTCACTATCTTGCTCAAGGACACGTCGATATGCAGTGGGAGGAGCTGGGGATTGAACTGCCTTCTGATTAGTGGATGACTTGTTTTACCTCCTGAGCCACAGCAGCCCCTAATCTATCTATATGATGCTGTGTAAGATGCTGTGTTACATAACAGTATTATGCTGGAACAAAGTATTTAATGTTTCAGGATTAGTAATAAACAGCAGTCAGTAAGTATTGTTTGTGTTTTTTAAATATCAAACATTGTGACTTAAGTGCAGATTTGACAAATATTAGACATAATACAGTTTCAGATTACATACATAATATCATATAGTATAACTAGTATAACAATACTAGTGATAGGAAATAATGTCAATGACTCATCTGGTTTATACATATACAAGTAAAAAACAATGTTGCAGTTGAAAAAAATGTCACAGTAACATTGCACATATGTACTATATATACTACTACTACTATATAGTATATGAAGACCTGTGCACAAAGAGTTGCCACAAGTTGTAGTGTGATCCTCTGCCAATAAGCAGGAGGAAAAATGCAAACACAACTATCTAGAGTGTTGAAGTAAGTGATTTTCCTGTTGGTTAGAGGTATTGCAGCCTGTGGTGAACTCTGCATTAACTGAACAAAGTAATAGAAGTAATCCTGGGTGCCTCATTAGAGTTAAAAGCGGGGGTTGAAATGTAGAGCCTACAGTCATTAATAAAACTGATGTTTTCACTAAAATCAGTGCACACCGGGTTGGTGTGTCAGCAATCAGAGATGCTCACAAGTAATTTTTTCTCAAGTCTCTTATGGTTGTAATGAGAGTTCTTTTTATATATATCTTTTTTTTTTTTTGGTGGGGCTTTTATTGCCTTTAATTGATAGATTAATTAATGAAACCCTGGGCCACTACAGCAAGGACTCAGCCTTTGTACATGTGGCGCCAGCCCTATAGTTAGTCAAAGTGAAATATTACTCACATTATTAGGTATGCAAAAATAACTATAACCTATTTTTGCAATAACAGAGTACAACTATATTATATAATTAGACTGGGCCTCCAAGTAATGACAGTTTCTAACCTACTCTAAATGAACACATCCTTCTAGCCTCTCAAACCCAGTGGAATAGTAACCTTATAAACGTGAAAAGTGATGTGGTCAACAATAAACCTAACCTGCCTGTAGCCAACAGTAATCATTAATATGGTCTTTCTCTCAGCCCGCTAAGATGGTCTGACAGCCTGTTTGGGTTTTTATAAAGCATATAGCTCAGTTTAAATAAAAACTACAAGCTTTTCAGCCCATGGTTTTTCCTAAATAGCCTATGTGTTTCTGAGCATTTGCACATCTATTTCTAACTACATCTGACACTGACATATATGTACAGTCAATGATTTTGACAGAGAATCGTTCATAAATTCATAAACTATTTAGCACTCTGCTTTTCTCTATCAGTGATATGCACAAGTGCTATGTTTTAGAATGGAGAAAAGACAAAGTATTCACTGTTGCCACACACACACACACACACAAAAAGTAATTTTTAGCAAGTCTAAGTCTCAAGTCTTTATGGTTGAAATGAGCTTCTATCATCTGCTATCATCTGCGACTGAAACATGTAAGTTAACAATCCACCTTCAAACTAGTGAGTTGTGTTTTTTAGGTGTGAGGGTCAGGGGAATACTGTTGACCTACCCATTTCCAGGAACTCATTGAACAGACTGAAGGCGTCAGTGTTGGCCAGGTGGTAGTTACGCAGCCAGTCCCGAAGTTTGCAGATGTCACAAGGTTCAACGCGTCCTTGTTCATCACGACAGGCCTTCCTGTAACAGTGACCACACTTCCTCTGCAGCTTCTTTGCAGTGTTTCTGCTCAGACAGCTCTTCAGCCAGCTAGAACACACATCATCCTTACATGAATGGAAAGTCTGACTGACATTTTTACACTGTTTGCTGATGAGGTCAACATGAGACATGGCAATATGTGAACTGGACATTAACCCATCACCATCTGCTGTCTCACAGAAGATGATTAATGAAAACACAGCACACTCACGGCACAGTGAACTCAAAGATGTTGTTAAGAGTCTGTTTGAGGAGCATGATAACTGCCATCTGGATGAAGAGGTCTGTCAAACAACCACTAGGATGGCACTATAAGACACACAGAACATCTAAGGGTTAGTACTGTGGAGCAGACATGCTATATGAATGACTAAAAATTCAGTGAATCTCCTCACCTCCTCTAGTCTCCATCCAGCAATACGCACATAGTTTCCTGGATGGCCATTTATCCTGTGACAAGAAAAGCTTCACGTCAGCCTTTTAACCTTCTGAATTTAGGGCATTACTGTATACTGTTCAAAGTGAGTGAGTTTCAGAGATGGAGGAAAAAGCAACTATAGGAAGACTGAAAAGGTGGAGCTACTTTAAACTTATGAGCTGCAGCTATCTCAGCTACTGACATCATGACCCTCGAAAGTCTGTGTTGGCAATGAGGATGGTTGGTGTTCAAACGCAGTCAAGGTGGATAGACACTGTTTTCTCAAATGTTCAACTTTTTATGTGAAGATTAAACCATATTATCATCACTATCCTGTTGTTGCAAATTAAAAAAATGCACTGCTGAATTCCTTGGGTGTATATATATATATATGTTAGGGCTGACCCAGACTAAAGATTTTCCTATTTGACTAGTAGTCGTTATTTAAACCCAATAGTCGACTAGTTGTTAGTGGAAACAAACCTTGCCCTGTCCTTTTAGCTCCCAGTCCAGGTAGATACAGTGCACAAAAAGAAAAATTTAGTCAGCTTTCAAACGGAGTATGATGTTATTTTTTATTCCATCTATCCGACTAATGAAAAGGGGGTTGAAACTGCAGGCACAAGCGACCTAAATCTTTTTTTTTTTTTACTTGTATGTGACTCAGATCAGTATATATATATATATATATATATATATATATATATATATATATAGGGCCACTTTCATATGTCGTCCATCAGATACAGGTCAGATTTTTTCTAATGTCACCTCTGTGTGACATGTCATATCACAATTCATGTGCCTTATATGTCTCTAGAGCTACGTTCGTCAGGCAGGTCACTTCAGGACTGTGACCTGTTCACACTGGAATCTGATTAACAAATATTGTGAACAGCTGTTATTCTACCATAAATGTAATTATCTTTTTCTACTTGTGTTGTATGAAGGGACTGCAAACACTCATTTTGTTGTACAACCTTGTGTTGTATAGCTATAAATAAATGTCCTTGATCCATGAACATGCATTGTAGTGTAGCTACTCAGCTGTTAGTTTAAGAGGTTTTTCCTCTATGTCAGTATGATGATAGAAGGTGCCAGTAGGGCTGCACAATCAAAATCAATCAAATATAAGTCGCAATCACAATTTTGGCTTCCCACCATTCATAAAACTTGGCTGTTTATCAAATCAAGTACTTCCTAAACTAACAGCCAGCCACCACTCCACTTTTGGGGAGCTGTCCTATTGCTGCACACACATTCTGCAGCTGCAGTCTTGATAAATCCAGAAAGAATGCTGTATTAAGCAGATCATGTTAGTGGAGTGGAGAAAAGCGGTAAACGACTTACTGTAGCTCAAAGTGGTCCTTGTTGGTCATGGTGTTATGGCTGATTGGTGTATATGAGAAGCGCATTTCTCCACGCCAGTCAACAATGAATTCTGCTTCTCTGCTAATTTCTAATCACATGTACAGCTGATTTTTAATAACCTCATGAAATATGTGTTCATGGATAAGCAGGTTTTAACAATGAAGTTAAAAAAGATCTTCAGTGAGGGGTTTTCTCTAATCTGTGCGTCCCAGGCATGAGATATACCGGTGTCAATGCACCTGCATAATTGCAACTGGGGGTGATCTCAAGATTGATGAAAATAATAATGATTATGATTTTGGCCATAATCGTGTAGCCCTGGGTAATAGTCTCTATAGCCAGATAATGTGGAAAAGCAGGTGTAATATTCAAAACAGGATCCTTATATCCATGTAGTGTGGGCCTTCCTGGATGATAATACTGTGAAGTTATCATCCAGTTTATTGCTATTAGACCATAGTTAACTGGATCATTCACCAATGCAGCTTCATGAGACAATATTGTGCATTGTTTGGTATCAGGTTTGTCCTGAATTTGTAAGAACACATGAGAATGCACAAGCAAGTCTCATCTGAAACTACAACAATATCAATGAATTTTAAAATGAGGGGACCCTTAAAATCCAAGGTTTCTGTTTGTCCATCCTGAAGAGGGATCCCTTCCCTGTTACTCTTCCTAGTTTTTGGTGAGTTTTTCTGTATCTGTATTGAGGGTCTAAGGGTGTATACTATTTTATATGCGGTGCCATGTGATTTGTGGTATTTGGCTATATAAGTAAAATTGACTTGACATTCTAGCAAAAGTAAAAAGACAGACAAACAGTTACAGACTAGCAGAAGGAGTACCTGCCCAGGAAGAAGGCCACATAGAAGAGTGAAGAGAAGAGTGTGAAGAACTGGAAGGTGAACATCTTGACTGTGAAGCTCCTCTCTGTGGCAGCGAATGAGTTTGTCTTCTCTGAATTCAAAATAAAATGATATAATTTTATTTATATATTTTAAATGAAATAATTCGAATTCATCATTTGACATTTTAATACTTATAGTACTCGTGCTACAACAAACTGAATAATGTATCCTACTTTTTTCTCACCTATGTCACACAGCTTGAGGGAGACCCATCTGTTTACCTATGGGTGGTGTAGAAGGAGAGAGAGACACAGAAAGATAGGCAAGATTACATTGTTGACAAGTACACCTTTATAAGAGCAGGAAGTCACCCCACACTGGACAGAACTCCTCTTTCAAAATAAATTGACTGTACTTGTATAGTGCCTTTCTAGTCTTCCAACCACACGCTTTTAGACTACATGCCACATTCACCCTTCCACACAGTGACAGATAACCCAACACAACACAGAAACTAACATTCAATTAGGGTTCAGTATCTTGCTCAAGGACACTTAGACATGAAGCGGGAGAAGCACCAAGCTTCTGATTGGTGGACAACCCACTACCTCCTGAGCCACAGTGTATCCATTTTGCACTTGCTGTAGTATTGATCAATGTATGCATCCAAGTCTGCTCACTTCTACACATGCTACACATCTTTTTTGTGTTGTCCAAAGATTGAGATGTGGATTACTGCAATGTTTAATAAAGAAAAAGAGTTTTGTTATTGACTTCAGTGACTAGGCACCACCTTGATTTTTTTAAAAAGTATTTTTGGGGGCTTTTATTGCCTTTATGATAGTGACAGCTGGAGAGAGACAGGAAAGGGGGGCAGAGAGAGGGGATGACATGCAGCAAAGGGCCGCAGGTCGGATTCAAACCCTGGGCCGCTGCAGTAAGGACTCAGCCTTGGTACATGGGAGGCCAGCTCTACCAAATGAGCTAACTGGGCGCCCCCACCATGATGAATCCTACCTCCTTGCGTAACATCTTACGATACTCAGTGCCGCATGCCTCAAGGTACTGTCTACCCACAGAGTTTCAATAGTATTTAAGTCAGTGAGGGCCATTCCAAAAACCGTCAGTTTGTGTCTCTTTAGGTAGTCCATGGTGGATTTTGAGGCATGTTTAGGATCAATATACTGTTGTAGAAGCTTTTTCTCTTTTCAACTTTTTTTTTTTTTTAAAGATAAGATTTAACTTTATTAATCTCCTATTGGAGAAATTCTTTTTTTCAATCTTTTTTATTTTATACACACACAGGGTGAAATGCACAATCACGCATCATGCATCAATCACATGCATTGTAGACATGCAAACATGGAGATGGTGGAGTGATGGGCTGTTTTGGGGTTAGGTGCCTTGCTCAAGGGCACAAGTGCACAGGAGTTGAAACTGGCACTGTCCACACGCCATACTACGGTCTGTGGGACTTTAACCGGCGACCCTCTGGTTCCCAAGCTAGGGTCCCTACACATTGAGCTACTGGTTAGTGGAAAGCCCTCTGCTGGCCTGAGCACTCACCTCTACAATCATGAAGTGCTTTGAATGGTTAGTCAAAACATTTCTTATCTCCTCCTTCCTGGACTCACTGGACCCACTTCACTTTGCACCACATTGATCATGAGACGACACCATCGTCCTATTCCTCCACACTGCCCTCTCCCACCTGGACTAAAGAAGCATGCTGCTTTTGTGTGTAGCCAGTTGCATTGATTATGATGGAAGCGTATTGTTGCAGCATCTGCTCTGCAATCATTATGTGTTCAAAGTAGCCAGCCCCTAAGATTCTCATTTTAACTTGTGTGATTTTCCTTTTACACATTTTGTATTGCATTGTTGAAGGGAACCTGAGAATAAGAATTGCATGGCCATTGATGCTTCACAGTAATTTGTGTGCATATAACAGAAGAAGAACAAACTTGATGTTGAGGCCATAGAACTACCTGTTACTCTGAGTTCTTACAGTTTAGTCATTTGCTGTCACTACACCTGCACCAGAACCTCCTCTATATAATGAGTAATGAAACTTTTGATAGGTACTGACCACTGCAGACAGAGAACACCCCAAAGAGTTGTAGTTTTGGAGATGCTCTGACCCAGTCATCTACCCATCACAACTAGCCCCTGTCAAAGTCACTCAAATCCTTATGATTACCCATTTTTCCTGCTTCTAACACATCAACTTTGAGGACAAAATGTTCACTTGCTGTCTAATATATCCCACCCACTGACAGGTGCCATATAACCAGATAATCAGTGTTATTCACGTAGGTATTACTAGTCAGTGGTAATGTTATGGCTAATTTGTATATACGCATATAAATAACAGTATATATTGTTCTATTTAATTTTTATTTATCTATTTTTTTTAAATAATTATTTTTAGTTAGTCTATGAAATTGATTATCTGATTTCACTTGGTAACAAACTGCTACAAATAAGCAACACCACTGAAGAAGGTAATTTAGACTGTTTATCTTGTGTGAGCACAAGGTCCGCATTAAGGCTAAACACCATGGAATCATGCATGATCACTCCCAAGATGAAATAATGGGTGTTTTTCCTATTCTTCCCATTCTGTGAGGATGTAGTATGAGGATCAGGATACAGGTATACATACCCGGGTCATGATCTGAATGGTGAGGTAGTGTAGCACAGCTCCCAGCATCACAGCCACAGTGTTGGCATGATCCTTGAAAAACTCCCAGCTGCCCTCAGACATCAAAGGGGCAGCCACCACCCGAAACACCACCAGGGCATGAGCAAGACCGATGATCAGCATCAACTGGAACACAAACAAACATACTAACATGTTAGGCCTTCTTTTTAATTGTTTAATTTAACCTTTATTTAGACAGGTAATCCCATTGAGACACAGGGTCTCATTATGCAGAGATACCTGTGTGCTGCCCCACTTTGACTTGCACCTTTTCGCCTGAGGGTGGCAGTATTACGACAAGAGTAGAGCGAGTTAAACAATGTCAACAGAGTCGTCAATCTGCAGCCGAAACTTTAATTCAATTCAATTCAATTCAATTTTATTTGTATAGCGCCAATTCATAACAGAAGTTATCTCAGGACACTTTTCAAATAGAGCAGGTCTAGACCGAACTCTTTAACATTAATTACAGAGACCCAACAGTACCACCATGAGCAAGCACTTGGCGACAAGGGCAAGGAAAAACTGCCTGTTAAAAGGCAGAAACCTAGGACAGATCCTCCGGCGCTAGGTGGGTGGTCGTCTGTCTCGACCAGTTGGGGTGAGAGAGAGAGAGAGAGAGAGAGAGAGAGAGAGAGAGAGAGCGACAGACAGACAGACAGGTGCACAGCAACAACAGTATTGGCAATGGCAGTCAAGCAGGACCATGGCAGGAGGCTCCACCAGGATCCATGAGAACCTGCGAGACGAGAAAGCACAAGAACTCCGGGGAAGAAGTGGAGTTAGTAACATGCATTAAAGGGACATGAATGAGTGCAGAAAGAGAGAGGAAGAGAGTAGCTCAGTGCACCATGGGAAATCCCCCGATAGTCTAGGCCTATAGCAGCATAACTAAGGGATGGTTCAGGACTCACCTGATCCAGCCCTAACTATAAGCTTTATCAAAGAGGAATGTCTTAAGCCTACTCTTGAATGTGGTGAGGGTGTCTGCCTCCCGAACCACAACTGGAAGCTGGTTCCACAGGAGAGGAGCTTGGTAACTGAAGGCTCTGGCTCCTGTTCTACTTTTAGAGACTATAGGAACCACAAGTAGCCCAGCATTCAGAGAACGTAGTGTTCTAGTGGGGTAATAGGGTACTATGAGCTCTTTAAGATATGAAGGGGCCTGACCATGAAGAGCTTTATAGGTGAGGAGGAGGATTTTAAATTCAATTCTACATTTTACTTTAACATTGCCAATCGTTTCAAGAGTAAAGAGAACATATGCCTTTGAGTATTGTATATGTATAGTGGTGTATGTTGCTGTTACTGCTGTTTCTGTAAGTTGACAGTTCTTTTATATTTTCGTCGCTATGACGATGCTAATTTGTTAGCTTGTATATGGGGTTTTACATTAAATATTAGCATTAAGCTAGCGGACCTTATTATTTGTTAGTATAATGGCAGTGTCGAGTGCTGTTTCAAACTGTGTTGAACACCTTTGGTATTTAGAGATACATATAATGTGATAGTATAATATTTTAATTTTCCTTTGTTGTATGTATTTCAGTTTTACAGTCAACTTCAATTGGGAGTCATAAATAAACCCTTGAAGAAAGGAAACTTTGCCTCTTCTTGGAGAACTGTTCGCTATCTGCCAAACTAAACACATCCTACGTTCAGGGAGGGCAGAATAACCTGGTCAAAAAACAGCAACAATATACCACAAAGTTTCAGAGACAGAAACAGCATTTAGTACAGAGACAAAATAGTGCAAAATTTTAAGTTACATTTTAAATCATACATACTGCAAAACCCCATTACATAATAATAATAAAAAATCCTAGGTTTTTATTTTTTTTACGCAATAAAGTATAAAATTACAAACCCTCTGTAATCTTTTTGGTCTTGTCGCTGTCTGGACATTAAGATTTCTATTCTGAACAAGATGGGCTTAATACATTTTGATGTCCCTATTAGCACCAACCACACAGTGATCACTTAGATCATGAGCAAATACCCTTGTTGCAGAATATATATGTGGCATATTAGAAATTAAAAGATCAAAATTAGATAATTTTTCTAAATATCTAGTGTTAAGATGTATGGGGCTGTCAATGATTTGTGAAAGGTTAAGAGTCATCATTAAGCTTTAAAATCATGCATTTGCATCATGCTTAACAGACGATTTAGAACGCAAGACCTGTACAGCAAGACTAGATTTAACATCGATCACCACACCACCCCTTTTCCTGGCGCAACTGAACAGTAAGTAATAAAGCCATCAATTGCTAAATCTTTATCCAGTGTAGACTGGAGAGCCGGGTCTCAGCAACAACAATTAAATCAGCACCAGTTGAGTGTCAGATCTTAAGGTTCTGACGCAATTAAATTTTTTCACAGGTAACATTTCTGTGATAGTCAGTAGTCAGTGAACTATGCAAATGTCCTCCCAGGGATATACATTTCCTGAGGAACATTCTTGCCCTGAATCAGATAGTGCTTCAGAATATGCTACATACCACACCCACCAAATTCCATAAACAACATACTGACTTTTAGGTCTCAGATGACAAACTGTGTGTTTGTGTGTCTCTTACCATAAGTGTTACCAGAATGAGGACCAGAGTGCTGCGCAGGTAGGAGTGTCTGAACTGTTTCGGTGTACAGTTTGGATCATTGACTATGTCCAGAATCAGTTCTTCCTGTCAACAAACACATGCACAGGCTGACAGACAACTCACACATTAAAGGTATATTACAAAGACTTTGTATCAGGAATCAAGTGTCTTATGTCTAGGAATCAAGTGTTATATCAACAGTTGTGGCAAGCAGAGGACTGTCTTGAGAAATGGACTTTCTATGAAAAATTGGGTTTGCATTTGGTTTGACTGCCAATATTGGCTGTAATTTGGTTACTGTAATTTGGTACTGTTGGGTCTCTGTAAATAATGTTATAAAGAGTTCGGTCTAGACCTGCTCTATTTGAAAAGTGTCCTGAGATAACTTCTGTTATGAATTGGCGCTATACAAATAAAATTGAATTGAATTGAATTGAATTATTAAAATCTATATATTCAAATAATTAAATAAATATCATAAAAGTGCTACAACTATTGGCTTTATTTAACAACTACTAGTTGACTAGGGAAATCTTATTGTCTTATTATCTAATTGTAGGGATTCCATTAGTGGGGTGCAACACAACACTACAGACAACTACAGTTAGATGCTTTCTTTAGTCAAAGATACAGTATGATCTGTGAGTTTAGGCAGAAAGCAGTACCTCTTCCTCACACCAGTCATAGACCTTCCACTGAGAAACATGTCTGGCTCTGTGTCTCTTCCACAGCTCCAGGAAGAGAGTGGCTGCAAAAAACATGGACAGGCAGTTCAAGAGGTATTCCACATCACAACAAATCACATTAAGATTAGATTAGATTAGATTAGACATCACAATACATCTGATTAGATCAGGTCAGACACTAACCCCAGATTGCCATGAACATAGCAAAAGCCACAGTGCCCTCATTGTCAAACAGATGGCTGACCTGTGTGGATACAAAAATATCATTAATCCCATTAAGAAGGAAGATCATAAATCTGGTACCACACAAAACATTGATAAACAGCAGAACCAGATTTTCATAAAACCATAAACACGTTTGTGTCTGAAGTCCTGACTAACCTCTTCATCACTCAAATATAAGGATTGTTAGCTGGTAGATTGTGAAGCCATTGTTACTCAGTTACTAAGAAATGGTCGCCTGCTTGTGTCAGCTGATTTGTTGTAAATCAAATGACCTTTCATATCATATATTAGCAGCTATAACTTGGCACTGAAGGCCTGTCCAGCTTTATATTTCTATACATGCTAAAGCTGCCATAAGACTAATACTACTATAGTGTTACATTTAACAAACTCAGCATCCTCACCATCAAAAGTACAAAACGTGAATAAAGCACAAACTTAACCTCTGCGTAACTTATCCCAGTATATTTTTATACATGCAGACAGGGTTATGTTAGAACAACATAACATTTTTAATTTCCCTAATAATATAATAGAAAAAATAGAAAAAACACATTATATTTTAAGGGGCTACTATGTTGCCTGCAGCTCTGGGGGAGCTTTCCTAAGTCTGAGAAAATAACATACACATATATAGGGATTTCGCTTAAAACATAAAATCTTTTAACATAAAGCATGCATTACAAACATGGGTTTTACCAGGGAAGAAGGAGAAGTCTAATGAAAAGATGTGTCAAGTTTTATTGTAGAATGCCGCAATTTTGGAGTTTGACTGCATGGCTGTAAACAGCTATGAGGTCAACGAGGTCCGAGTTAAGACAAGTTAACACTGTCTTTGCTGAAGATCTGAGCTCATCCCTATTAACCTAGGCCTCTATGCTTTCAAAATGTGACATGTCTAAACTTTTGCACACAGAATCAACTAGGAGTTCCCTTTTCAGTACAACACGCAAGTATGGGGATTTCACCCTCGTGAGACCAACCTTAAGAAACTCTTTCAACATTCCTGTCCAGGCCAATGACACTGTGCAAGCAGGGTAAGCCCTGCCTTCAGCTGGCACAATGTGCTTGTTTAGCTTGCTAACTAGCCATGCTCTCTGTTGTTTAGCCTAACTAACAGAGATTTGTTTAGCATGTCTAACAAACAGGCCATTCCCACACTGTTTAGCATTGCTAATGACTTGCATGTTTAGCTCGCTAACTCTTTAGGAAAAAAAAAAGGGATTGATTCCATAGAAGAAGAAGGGCTCTCCTAGCGGGTCTAGCAAGGCTAGCGTGGCAAGGAAACCCAAGTATCGTCCATGCCGGAGCACGTGTGGTTTCTCCCCCTCTGAGATATATGTACTACCTCTGCCCGGTTTGTATTGGCATGTTGCACATGAAAGCTGCACTTGCTAGCCTGGAGTCTTGTGTGCACTGTCACTGACTCTGGAAGTCAGCCCTGGAAAGACATGGCATTTTTGCTCAAGGTGCTGTGCAGCTGCCCGTGGAGATCCTCTGCTGTCTGAAAAATGAAACATGAGTCCCCCATGGAGTTGAAACTTGACAGAGCTGATTATGGAAGCAGGGCGGCACAGTCATGGGGAGATCAGATGGACAATATCTGCCCTCCCACTGAGTAAGGAGGAATGGATGGAGACCCAGTCGATTTCACAGTCAACATGGATAATATACCACTAGGTGTAATGTCCAAGATGAACTGTCTCTTGCCGCTTCAGGAGGTTTCTCAGAAGGGGACGTTGAAGCAAGAGGATGGGAGCGATAAGACACAAGCTGACAGTCTTCCCCGACTTCACACTGTAGTCCCTCAAGGCCCCGATGTCTGCCTTTTTCACAGCTCTTGGACTTGATGATATGGAGTCTGCTGGATTGATTGGTACCTCTTTGTTGCTCTCGATACCGTGCATCAATGTGGGAATGTATATTAATGAGTTATTTTCTGTTTAATGGGCTTTGCCATCACTGTGTGTGTGAATGTGTGTGAAAGGACGAATGTGGCATGTAGTGTAAGCGCTTTGAGTGATCGGAAGACTAGAAAAGCGCCATACAAGTACAGGTCCATTTACCATAAAGCAGAGTAGTCATGATAGCTCACCTCGTTGAGCACATGCCCCATGTACAAAGGCCTTACCACAGCTACTTAGATCCAACCTGAAACGACATGCACAACGCTGCATGTCGCCCTCTCATTCTCTCTCCCAAATTTCATGTCACTCTTGAGCTGTCACTATTAATAATGAATAAAAGCAATAAAGTCCCAAAAAATTATCTTAAAAAACAAACAAGAAAACAGACCCGTCAATATACCTGGTGGAGATTAAAAAAAAGGCTCCTTAAAGTGCACAGCTCTATATCAATGTGGAGGAGACTGTGATTACATATCACCTGGACTAGATTTTTGGCCATTTTTGGTGGATGTAGCAACCACCAAAATTAAAAGTGTTAAAAAGAAATTACACACTAGGCACTGATATTAGTTAAGTGATTATTGTTACTTTCAAAATTTCTAAAATCTCGCCTACGGCTCTGGAAACCAGCACACTATAGATACCCTAATTGTTTGTTTGATTGCACAAACTCATAATGACACGTCATCATCTGTGTGACACCTAGTAGTTGGTAGGTGTAAGTATTTTGCACAACAACTGAGCTTTAAGACTAGCTCTTGGATTTATTTTTGGATTTGGATTGATTTTGTCAAAAAATCATAATTTTATCAGCTGGCTGTCTGTCTCACTTCGCACTAGATGTTGGTTGTGATGCAGTTTTTTGTTTGTTAACTGAAAGGAGGATGGAGAAGAGAATCAACTGCTGTTGTTGTTGTTTTATATGAGTAATGAATAAAGCCCTGAGTTACATTCAGCTTGTTGAAGAGATCAGATGAACAGGTTAAAGAAACAAAGATGGGATGATATCACCTTAGCGTAGGTGCATGTGTCTGACAGCTGCCACACTGTACACCTCTTGTCACATCGAGGACACATGATGATACTGGACTGACACACTTCCTTACTGAGGACACACATAGAGACAAGAATTAAAGGGTTAATGGAAATATAAAAGCTCAATTATGTTGTATCTGTTTCTGCACAAACATGATAAACAGGAAAAGCTGGTCTCATTGCTCATTAAATACAAACTTGTTGGAGAGGCGGAAAGAAAGGGCCTCATGCAAGATTAGATGTACAAACAGTTTTTCTATTAATGTCGCTCATATCTTTGTGACTTTCACATGACTGCCTTTCAAATTAGCTGTGGACTGTTTTTCTGTATAAAGTTATTTATAATCTACTGTCAAGGTACAGCTAAGCTCTGATAACACATTGCTGTCAGCTGTACTATTGATATTCTCCACTACTACATTTTTCTGAAGTACAGTCTATTTACCATTTAATACAAAAAGACAAGTGTTGTCAAAGTTTTAGACCATTTACTACGTAATAGTACTTCTACAACTCACATGAGGGGGTTGGTGTTGAAAAAAGCAAGTCCATACAGGAACACAACAACACCCAGAGCAGCAGCTGGAACCAGCAACTTGGTGTACCAGCCCAACCACAAGTAGTAAAGAGCCACCTTTTCTCCAAAGTAACACCTGCAAGAAACAGGTAACACACAGGCAGACATGATGTTACACACAAACACGTCAACACAAACATAAACACACACACACACACACACACACACACACACACACACACACACACACACACACACACACACAAATAGGAAAGATTCACATGACTGGGTCAGTGTGTCCCAGAAGCTTCTGGCTCTGATGAAACCAAACCTGAGCATTTTGACCATTTTACTAAACTCTGTTTCCCACAACTATTGTGAACAACGGGGGTTCAACAGCGGCAACAGCGACAAAACTATGAATGCTTTCAAGAAAACATGCTCCATTCTCTCCATTTTTAAGAGGGTCTACCCCCTCTCTATGGCAGCCTTCACTCCACCTTTCAGTTTGGATGTTCATAAGACAGAAACAACAAAACTTTACGACTATGTGAAGAGTCTTAGTTAGATAGTTGCAGAAAAACAAAAAAGTCAAACAACGTTTGGGAGCAGCACTTTGTCACTGGCAAGAAAGTATCAGAGGATTGTTGCCACACAGACCCTTTCTCTTGTAAAACAGTTAGTCACTTACACTTACTGGTGCACTGTTGCATATGCTAAGTAGTCATTTTAGCTGATTCTCCCTGGACTGGGAGCTCGAAATACTACTAGTGTAGGAGCAGGGAATGCTGCCAGGAAGCAGGTCCAGCATGAGCAACAGAACCGGAGAGGGATGAGTACCCAACAAAACCAGACTGACAGCCTTCAAGAAGGCTGATTTACAGCAGCTCCGACCAGGACTTGTGCACATGACACAGAAGGTTCAGGGAGAAACAGGAGAGACATGAATAAATAGGAATGAAGTATCTGAACTTGTGCTTCAGGACTGCTTTAACAGTACAGACTGGTGCGTGTTTAAAATTGCTGTTCTGAAAGGGGACTGTACTGTGGACCTAGAGGAATATGCTGCAGCTCTAACTGGCTACATTAGCATTTGCACTGAGAGCATTATCCCCACTAAACGCTGCAAGACCTACCCCAACGACAAACCCTGGATTAACTGTGAAGTGCGGTCCATGCTACATGCTTAGCATTTGTCTCGGGTGACACTGAGGACTACAAAAAGAGAGAGACAATACAGACTTAAGCTGGAGTTTACATCAGCTTACACCACTGCTGATCCCCGGAGCATGTGGCAAGGTCTGCAACCCATCACAGACTACAAACAGAAGAGTTGGGGGCCTCAACCAGCAGAGTCACACTACCGGATGAGCTCAATGAGTTCTACGCTCGCTTCAAGGCCCTCAACACCAGCCAACAGGAAGAGACTCTGGCCACCGAGGGCATACTGGACACACCACTCTGTGTCAACGGTAGAGATGCGCTCTGCTCTGAGGAGAACAAACCCATGGAAGGCAGCTGGCCCAGATAACATCCCCCGGCGTGCACTCATCAGAGCTGACGGAGGTGTTAAGGTATATCTGCAACCTGTCCCTCGCTCAGGCCTCACCCCACCCCCTTCAAGTCCACCACTATCGTGCCACTCCCAAGGAAGGACACTGTGACCTGTCTGAATGACTGGCACTCAACATAATCTTTCCATACAGGCTCTCTGAAAAGCTCCTCACTCTCGGACTGACACCCTCACTCTGTAACTGGGGGCTGAACTTCCTCACAGACAGACCCCAGTCAGACTGTGTGACCTCCCAGACCAACACCTGCATTATAAAGTTTGTGGACAACACCACAGTCATTGGACTGATCAGTGGTGGGGAGGAGACGGTGTACAGAAGAGAGGTGGCCGGACTGGTGGCCTGGTGTCAGGAAAATAATCTCTCCCTGAACACAAACAAGACAAAGGAGATGATTACTGATCCTAGGAGGGGTAGGAGGGAACAGCACAGCCCACTGTACATCGGTGAGACAGAGGTAGAGAGGGTGACAACCTTTAAATTCCTCTGAACTCACATCAGCGAGGATCTCACCTGGACACACCACACCCACCAGCTCCTGAAGAAAGCCCAGCAGAGATTCTACTTCTTAAGAAGGCTGAAGAAATTTGGCATGTCAATCAAAATCCTCACAGATGTACAGTCGAGAGCATCATCGCCAGCTCAGTTACAGTGTGGCATGGCAACTTCACTGCTCAGGACAGGAAGGCTCTCCAGCATGTAATAAAAACTATACAATTCATCTCTGGAGCAGCATTCCCATCACTACAGGACATTTCCACAACACAGTCTCTTCACACGTCTGCCATCAGGGAGGCGCTACAGGAGTGTGAAAGCAAGGACAAAAAGACTCTCTAACAGTTTCTAACCCGGTTTTTTCGTGCACTCACTGATTCGCTAGTCAAGGGCTAACACCAATCAGATTGGTCATTGAGGCCGACGGCCACTGGCCGATTCTACATGTCGAATCGGCCAAAATGAATGCCGACGCCAATACGGGACACACCGAACCGACTCAAGTCACCGACCTCGCCTGACTGTCCGACGACGTCTGACAGCCGATAATCGGGTTGGTGTGCCCAGGCCTTAATTCAACTCTGATTTCTTTGTTTACTGTACATTGTTCTGCATTTAAGTTATATGTTATATTTTAGTTATAGTTTATATTTTAACTTTATTCCATTCATCTATTTGTGTGTTGGGTGAGTCGGGCACCTTACGCAACACACGGTCGGCAAGTAAGATTTTCATTGTACGTATAAATCAGTCTTTCTTACTGTGCATATCACAATAAACCTCTTGAATCTTGAATCTTATATTTCTACTTCTAGTATATCTTCTATTTTTTCTATTGTATTATTATTTATTATATATTATGTGGTGTATCTGGAGCTGCTGTAGCAACTCCCTGTGGGGAGGGATCTGTGGGATCAGTAAAGTTTATCTCATTTTATCTCAACACGCAACTGCACTGAAGCACCAAATACAACTCCCTCCAGACAGCGACAGGGACTCAAAAAGAGCCATCGTTACTTTATACTTTATTATGTAAAAGGAATAAAAAAAACTTAAGAAACAGCTTCAATGTAGGCGTTCCTTTTGCCATCACACTACAAAGTTCACTCTATCAGAGTCGGTCATTCTAGTTGGCCATAATGCAGGATCGCTGAAATTAAGTGTGTGATCAGTCTCTGATCCATCCTGCTCAGACTCTCCGACGGGGCAGCGGCCCCTTCCCGCTCCACTGTGACTCTCTCTCTCTCTCTCTCTTCTCTCTGACTCTGTCCCTCCATTGCGGGGCAGCGGGCCCCTCCCGTATCACTCTCTCTGTCACCTGACTGCAACTGGATCTCTCTCCTCTCTGTCTCATCCTCTCTGACGGAGCTACCAAACTCAACTGTTTCTGTCAAAGATAACGTGTTGTTTCAGGCTTTTATACGAGCTAATGGACGTTAACATTAGTGCTGGCCTGTTAGGTTACGTTACAAGGCTGGTAAACGTTGGCTGCACTGTTTCTTACCTTGCTCTACGTTGACTTTACTAGTTCCAGCTTCACTGTGACGTCACCACCTTTTTTTAAATATTTAGGGACCTCGCAAGCGACCGCTGAAGGTCCCTATTGTTGTTGCTTCGTTTCTTCTTCCCTATTTTTAGCACTTTTGATTGCATTTTTGCCCCCCTGAACATATACGAAAAGTCAATTTTATTTGGCAAAGTGGTCAGGCCTGGTGAAAAATTTTATATTCTATGTGTCGCTTTCGGGTCCGCCACTAGGTGGCGCTACTATCATGAAAATTTAGGCTAATAACTCACGCATCGTTTGTCACACATTCAAATAACGTATATCCATGCGTTCGGTGAATAGAGCTGAATCTCCCCATATAGGCCCCGCCCATTTCCGCCCATAATTCTTTTCCATTCGAGTGCAAAATGTCCTTAAACTACTTTTTCGTGTTCCTCCTACACGCTTTGTCCGATTCGCACGATATTTTTCACCTAGCACCTGGGGACCGCCCTGGCAAAAAGAGTAATTTGAACATTTTTGAAATTTCAAAAAAATAAGAACGCTATAAAGTTCTAACTTCCTGTAGATTTTTCGTCAAAAAAGGAAGTGGACCATTTCTCCACATTGGTATGTCCGGTTGACATCAACCTTGGGTCCTTAGTTCGCCATGTCTTCCTAAGACATCGTGCACAATTTCAGGCCATTGCCTCTAGGTGGCGCTCTTTAAAATGAAGAAGTTTATATCTCCATAACGGCACGTGTGATTGAAATGGAACTTGGTACGATGCTTGCCCATGGCTCCCTGAGGCTTGCTAAAAAATGTGTCAACAATCCACCACTAGGTGGCGCTCTGGTGGCATAGTAAATCACTGTGCGGAGACCGTAATAGTTATGAATATAAAATTCACAGGGCACGTGTAGAGTGGTGCCTGAAGCTCACATACCACAAATCGTGTTTGTCCTGTTTGTAGCGCCCCCTACAGGATAAGAAAAAAAGCAGCCCCGGTGCCACGTTTCACCGATACGTACGAAACTCGGTAGACACGTGTAACATGCCGGGACATACAAAAAAGCCTCTTGGACCCATACCCGAAACCCCCCAGGAAGTCGGCCATTTTGATTTTGATTTTCACTTTCGGCTAACTTTTCGCGTTGTATTTGAACAAACTCCTCCTAGGGAATTTATTGGATCTGCTTCAAAATTTGTGAGTACAGTCAAAAAATGGTTCTGATCAACAGTTGTGCTATTTGTGCATGTACGTTGAAGGGCGTGTCAGTGGCGTGCCCTCAAAGTTGGCCATAGTGAAATTCGTGCACATTTTCGGTGAATTTTTCGCCTTGTATTTGAATGAACTCCTCCTACGGAATTTATCGGATCTGCTTCAAAATTGGTCAATACAGTCATAAAATGGTGCTGATTAAAAGTTGTGCTATTTGAGACTGTATGTTGAGCGGCGTGTGTCCGTGGCGTGAGGTCAAAGTTGGCCACTTTGAATTCTGTCGTCATACAAACTGATTGAAAAGTTGAGCTGTGACTGTACGTTAAATCGCGTGCCAGTGACAACTTGTCCTTTTCAGCAGATTCGCCATAAAACAGTGCTCATAACTTCAGTGTGCAGTGTCCAATCTCAAAAAGAAACTTCACCTGTTTGATAACACTCTCGCCTTGAACATGTCTACATGACAACATTCAGACATAGTGATAGCGCCACCTTCTGGCAACAGGAGGTAAGCGCTGCGTGGCAATTTTGAGCTGATTTACGTGACATTTTCATGTTGTGGTCCGCACGTGTTACGACGGCACGTGACGCGGCCGCAGCACGCCCAGAGTTGCGTGGAGTGCGAGGTCCTGCTCAACGCTGCTTGCAGCTTTAATTGTTTTTGTCTTTTCTTTCCTTTCCGAGAACCTGACTTGTGCTGACCGGACGCTTTGAGCGTACTGAACTTCAAATCAAATGACAACATCAAATTTTGATCAGTGGCCAAAACATTTTTGTGTTGGGGGTGGGGTGGGGGGGTTCTTGACCACTATTTTAAGGACAATTAGGAAGAAAACAAATAAAAAGCTTAATGTAACTCAAATATTACATATTTTTTCCCACAAATAGGCCTTTTTAAAAAGAAAATTAAAAATTATTCCATAATTTAATGAGGGCCCAGTTCAGTTCAGTTACAAAGCTCCTCTCCTGTGGAACCAGCTTCCAGTTGTGGTTCGGGAGGCAGACACCATCTCCACATTCAAGAGTAGGCTTAAGACGTTCCTCTTTGATAAAGCTTATAGTTAGGGCTGGATCAGGTGAGTCCTGAACCATCCCTTAGTTATGCTGCTATAGGCCTAGACTATCGGGGATTTCCCATGGTGCACTGAGCTCCTCTCTTCCTCTCTCTCTCTGCACTCATTCATGTCCCATTAATGCATGTTACTAACTTTAAATCTAAAAGTTCTTGTGCTTTCTCGTCTCGCAGGTTCTCATGGATCCTGGTGGTGCCTCCTGCCATTGTCCTGCTTGACTGCCATTGCTAATATCACTGATATTATTGTTATTGTAATTATTAATATTATTTTTACTACAGTTACTATTATTACTATTGTCACTGCTCATTGTCCCCCATCGTTGCTGTTGTTGTCGTCATCATCTTCTTCATGTTCATCATCAGTCACTACTATTAGTGTAGTTGTTGCTGTGCAACTGTCTGTCTGTCTGTCTGTCTGTCTGTCTCTGTCCCTCTCTCTCTCACTCTCTCTCAATTTCAATTCAATTCAAATGGCTTTATTGGCATGAAGTAACACTGTACATATTGCCAAAGCAAGCGTTTGAAATTAAAAATAATAATAGTAACAATACAGGAAAACAATATTTACAATAAATTAATTATAATCTATACTGTTGGTAATAATATAATATACATAATATTTAAATTAAATAAATAGATAAAACTGTAAACGTGTGTGTGTGTGTATATATATATTAAAAAACAAAAAATAAAATAAACAACAACTAAAACAATCAATTATTTTTGACATTTATCTGAGTTTCCACTGGTTGTCCTCAGTTCAACTTTTTGGCATTTCTCCCAGTAAATAGGGGAGTTTCTGTGTGTCTGATAATAATTCGAATTCGGGGTATATTTGGGAAATGTTTGCGAATTGTTTTTCTCTTAAAGTTTTGAATTTTGTGTTTTGGTCGTTCTTTCTTTCCTATTGGTGTAGTTGTTGCTACTGTTGTTGCTGTGCACCTGTCTGCCTGTCTGTCTCTCTCTCTCTCTCTCTCTCTCTCTCTCTCAACTCCCCAACTGGTCGAGGCAGACGACCACCCACCTAGAGCCGAAGGGTCTGTCCTAGGTTTCTGCCTCTTAACAGGCAGTTTTTCCTTGCCCCCGTCGCCAAGTGCTTGCTCATGGTGGTACTGTTGGGTCTCTGTAAATGTTATGAGGAGTTCGGTCTAGACCTGCTCCATTTGAAAAGTGTCCTGAGATGAATGAATATGAATTGGCGCTATACAAATAAAATTGAATTGAATTGAACTGAATTGAATTGAATTGAATTGAATTGAATTGAAAGTGTACTTGAGGTGTGCACTGCACACTGTGTCATCTAAAAAATATCGAAACCAAGACTCTGTATCGGCATATACTCAATATCAAATGACTCAGATCAGTGGCTAAAAAACTTGATCATCCATCCCTTATTATAATGGAACTGTAGTGTTGCAGCATACACTCTGCATATGTTACATGTTCAATGTATTATTAAAGTACTTTAATCACCTGAGCTGTGTATCACATCCACTACTAAGCTCCGACTGCTGATTGTGTTGATGAGCAGTTAAATCAGCAGCCAATCGTCAATAACTAACTTCTCGCTGTTTTTAGAACACCAGCACATACACCTGTCCCTTTCAAATCATACAGTATCTAAATGCAACACATTTTCTACTCTGCTTTCCTTAATCCATTATGGTAACATCCTTAACAATGACAGACAGACAGCTAATGACAGTTACACACATTCAAATACAGATACAGATGGACAGACATACAAATAGACAGTTACAGACTGACTTGACATCGTTGACTGGTTGTCCTGTAAACAGACACGACCATCGAGCCCACTTCTCCTTTAGCCGTTTCTGCTTCTTTCTCTGAAAATCATGTGAAAAATCAACACAAGTTTTTATCCTATATGCTAATACATTGAACACATTTCACATCAACATCACTACATCTGGGCAATATAGTGTGTTTTCTTTTTTTGTATTGTCTAAATGTTGACTTTCATGGCTCTGTCTCTATAGTAGAGAGAAACATTTATTCATCTGTATGCCTTTATGGCTTTTCTGCTTCATCACCTTTTTACTGGGTCATATTTAAAAGCTCATACTCTTGTCAAAGTCTTTAAAACCCTGCAGACTCAGCTGTGGATTATTTGTCCAGTGTCTGTATGGAGCTAATTTCCTGCAGAATTTAATAAACGAAACACAAATGCCCTGCAATTCAGTAAGAAACACAGTGTGGTCTGCACATACACATCATTAACAAACGAATGAATTAATGCACAACAAATACAGCCTTACAGCCTATTTCAGTTGTGTCTCCATTTTCTGGACAATTTGAGGTAGTGAATATGTGCTGGCTTCTGCAACAGAGCTCTATGAGCATCTTAAATTTGGAGGGACATACCATTAAACACATCAATCAAAAAAATATTACTTGACATTTTGGCACCACCTTTCCAATGTGATTGTGCAGGATTGTCGAGGAGTTATTTGCCTCCATAACAGCAGGTGGCACTATGAGTCAATTTAAACTCGTCAGGAGGTTGAGCAGAGCAGAGCAGATTGAACAGCCACTGTTTACCATTGTGAACTGTGTGAAGACACTGACAGTATTTTAAATTTACCAAGTAACCCTGTTAACTGGCGACTTTCAGTCGAATGTCTCTGTGGTTGTAATAGTTAGAGCAATAGAGCTGTTGAAAACCAGACGAGAATACTGGCGAAGGCCTCTTTGTTTCACAATTTGGCAAAGTCAAAGTCATTCAACGCTACCCATTTTTCCTGCTTCTAACACATCAACTTTGAGGACAAAATGTTCACCTGCTGCCTAATATATCTCACCCACTGACAGGTGCCATGATAACCGGATAAGTGTTCATAATGTAATGGCTGATGGGTGTAAATATCAGTTTGGACTGATCAATCAGTCAATATTAAAGGACTCTGATGTGTGCCAAAAACATCACTGTGCAAAGTAACAGCTCCAGCAGTTTAAAGAGATCAGTTAGAGATTGACTCACCTCATGGAGGCAGAACATGGTTTCAAACACATCCTTCATCAGCAGCTCTTTCAGGTTCTCTAACAGAATGTAAAAAAAGAAAATATCCCAAGGATTTAAGGTAATTTTACTGTCATTTACAACACTGGGGTGTATAATGACATCAGAATCAGAATGAGATTTATTGCCAGGTAGGTTTTTACACATATGAGGAATTTGTCTTGGTGCAATGGTGCTTAAAATATACAATCACACAAAAAATAAATAAAAAGATAAATATATAAATCACACAAAAAATATACAAGTCACACAAAAATCACACAAGAATAAAGTACTTTTTAAAAAAATGTATAGATAAATAAAGATAAGAAAGATAAGAAAAGATAGGAAAACTGTACAGAAGACGGGAGCCCATTGATGTAATGCATATATACAGGGTGGGTATGAGAGTCAGTGTCAGTGGGGGGTCCGGGCCTTGTTAATGAGGCCAGCTGCAGACGGGAAGAAACTGTTTTTGGGGTGAGAGGTTTTGGTCCTGATGGACCGCAGCCTCCTGCCAGAGGGGAGTGGTTCAAAGAGTTTGCGGCCTGGGTGGGATGGGTCAGCTACAATCTTGCCTGCACGCCTCAGGGTCCTAGAGACGCACAGGTCCTGGAGGGATGGCAGGTTGCAGCTGGGTTCTTTCTAAAGTCCACAACCATCTCCACTGTTTCTAGAGCGTTTAGCTCCAGGTTGTTCTGGCTGCACCAGGTCACCAGATGGTCAATCTCCCATCTGTAGGCGGACTCATCTCCACCAGAGATGAGGCCAATGAGGGAGGGGTCATCCGCGAACTTCAGTAGCCTGACGGACTGGTGACTGGAGGTGCAGCTGTTAGTATACAGGGAGAAGAGTAGAGGAGAAAGAACGCAGCCTTGGGGGGATCCGGTGCTGAAGGTCTGGGAATCAGAGACATTTTTCCCTAGCTTCACATGCTGTTTCCTGTCAGACAGGAAGTCTGTGATCCACCTGCAGGTGGAGTCAGGCAAAGTGAGCTGGGGGAGCTTGTCCTGTAGCAAAGCTTGGATGATGGTGTTAAATGCAGAGCTGAAATCCACAAACAGGATCCTGGCGTAGGTTCCTGGGGAGTCCAGATGCTGGAGGGTGAAGTGCAGGGCCATGTTAACTGCATCATCTACAGACCTGTTGGCTCTGTAGGCGAACTGCAGGGGGTCCAGGAGTGGGTCCGTTATGGCTTTCAGGTGGGAAAGCACAAGGCACTCAAAAGACTTCATGACCACAGAGGTGAGGGCAACAGGTCTGTAGTCATTTAGTCCTGTGGTCCTTGCTCATCCAGACTTTCAGTAGCAGTCTTGAAAAAATCCCAGTCCGTAGAGTCCAAACAAGCCGGGAGATCCTCTGAGCTTCACTGGACCACTGCTTTAATGTCCTCGCAACAAGTTTACAGAGTTTTAGTTTCTGCCTGTATGAAGGAATCAGGTGGACCATGACGTGGTCAGAGAGGCCCAGTGCGGCATGGGAGACGGCGTGATAAGCTCTGCTGACTGTAGTGTAACAGTGATCCAGTGTGTTCTTCTCTCTGGTTGGGCATTTAATAAACTGTTTATATTTAGGAAGTTCGTGACTGAGGTTTCCTTTGTCGGCGAGCATGCGCTGTGGGTCCTGCACGTTGGCCTGCGGTGGAATGTAAACACCGACCAGAATGAATGAAACGAACTCATGGGGGGAGTAAAAAGGTTTGCAGTTTATGATAAAATATTCCAGAGTAGAAGAGCAGTGCTGTTGGATCACTGTTACATCATTGCACCAGCTACTGTTGATATAAAAACAGATACCCCCATCCTTCGATTTGCCGGAGAGTTCCGTGTCACGATCCGCTCTGAGGAGTTGGAAGCCTGCCAGCTGCAGCGCAGAGTCCGGTATCTATCCACCTAGCCACGTCTCCGTGAAGCATAAAACAGAGGATGAAGAAAAGTCACTGTTTTTCCCCAGAAGTAGCTGAAGTTCGTCAATTTTGTTGCACAGTGAACGCACGTTAGAAAGGAATATTCCAGGTAGCGGTGTGCGATGTCCTTGCTGGCGGAGACGCACAAGCGTACCGGCACGTTTCCCTCTCCTCCTGTGTTTCACTGCGTGAGCAAAGGTGAGCGCACCTTTGACCACAATGCCCAATAATTCCACGGAAGAAAGAAGAAAAGTGGGAAAGAGGTCAGCTGGAGTTGTTCCCCTGATGTTCCCCTGATGTTCATGAGCTCTTCTCTAGTGAAAGAGACCCGGGAATCACAGCCGAAAACTGAATTAACACACAAAACAAGAAAAAACAAAACGCACCAACACACCGAGGCAACCGTCCGTGGCGCCATCTTAGTTTTAGATTATAATTATCTTTATACTACAAATACAAATGTATTAATAAGTCATAGAAATAAAAAACAAGTTGTATTGATCTGTTTCACTGATAATCAATATTTATGTCTGCCTCTTAAAAGTGTGGAAGATATGTTATGTCATGTTTGCTGTAGGCCTACAAAGTCACAGATGACAAATTCTATTAAACTAATCACACTCACCTCCTGTGTTTATGAAGGTCTGATGAAGGATGAAATTGACAATTCGGATCCTGGACAAACAGAATAGAAAAAAAAATAGAAAGTTTAATAGTAGTAAATAGTAAAGCAGAGAAATTGTATCTGCAAGATCAGAATGAGCAGGTTAATATATATACACTTATTTTCAGCCCCAACATTCAAAAACCATGTGATATAAATAATTTTTGTTAAATCAGAGAAAACATTTTATCTGAATATATTTGAATTGCGCCACAAGGGACATTCAATATGAAAGGGATTATTATGTACTGTTTATTAATTAATAAATGTTCAAAAACAGGCATTACCATTTTGGACACATCTAAATTTAAGTCTAAAAGACACTTCATTCCAAAGGACTAAAAAGCCAAGAGTTGAACGCTGAAAACGGTCCCCTCAGTTAGCTGGTGAAAAAGCTAACCAACTATCTCAACTGGTGCTGAAAACAACCCCCCATTTGAACATATTAACTCACAAACACTGAAGGGAGAGAAATGAGTGGGGGGAAATTGCAGAGAGGCCAGAAGAGTATAATAAAGTGCAACAAACAATTAACATTGAAAAAAGATTAAATGGAGAATGCCGCTCTGTCTGTGGAGCTTCCCTTTCCTGATGGTATGTCCCTCCAAATTTAAGACACTTTTAGAGCTCTGTTGCAGAAGCCAGCAGATATTCGCAACCTCAAATTGACAATGTCCAGAAAATGGAGACACAACTGAAATCATTAGATCTGCCAACCCTCACAGAAGATCAAAATAAAGCACTAATATCCCATAGAATAATGTACTCTGATTGAAAGTGAATAAGTTCACAGGCACGGCGTATTCACTGCGCAGTGGTATAAAAGTCTGAAAGAGGCCCTGAGAAATTTGTCACTTCAGACTCATTAGAAATTCGATGATCCTTAAAAAATTTAGACATATAAATCAAAACAAAATACAGGCTATGCTAATAAGTTTAGATGCCAAAAAATTTGATTCTGTTAGATAGACATTTCTATTTAATGGAGAAATTTGAGTTTAATCAAGAAATTATTAAGATACCATAACTGTGCCGTCCTGTATCCTAGCAAGCCATCACAGAACTTTTGGGCTGCCAAAGGAATGATTTAGGTAAATTGAAAAATCCGAAACAAAAATGAAATGTTTTTCAATGGAAATGTGGTTATTTTTAATTTCTTAACCTTCTTGGTATGTAACGGATAGCTGAGAGGCTCAGCGATACTGATATAATATATATTCAAATGAATTGGGATAAAGTTTTGAAATGTGCTTCAGCACTGTATATTTGTAATTAATACAGACTACTGAAATTTAGGATCATGTACACACTATGATAATTCAGTTTGATTCAATTCAGTTTTATTTGTATAGCGCCAATTCATAACAAAAGTTATCTCAGGACACTTTTCAAATAGAGTTGGTCTAGAGACCATACTCCTTATAACATTATTTACGAGACCTAACCCAAAAATGAGAACAATACTTTTTGGAGTGGGATAAACTTATTTTGAGATTTATTTGGGCTGGGAAAAAAACAAGTGTAAAATATAACATTTTTACAACCATCAAAGGAGAAAAGTGGATTAGGCCTTCCATGTTTGATGGATTACTATAGGGCAGCTCAAAAGAGGCCACTAGTTGGCTTGGTATGATAAATCAAGATAGAAAGAGACAGAAAGCTCAGTGGAGAAGGGAATACCAGTCAACAAATTGGTTGGAGACCCTTCATTAACTCTTTATCTTTTCGATAACCCTTTGATAACCAGCTCCCTAAAGATATGGAAAGAAATTAAGAGACCAATTGAACGACAGGGATGAAATCTTTAAATGGTTTACCTATGACCCGGATTTCATGCCCGGTAAATACTACACAAGTTTTAGATGCTGGTCTAAAAATAGTCTTATTGCATACTGCACTCTCTTAAATTAAGGTATGTTTTTTTGAGGCTCAAGGACAGCCTTAATTCACAGACTCAGGATCATTTTAGGTATTTATAAATCATAGATTATATTGGCAGGAAATTTCCGCAAGATTAAACCACAATTTGTGAAGACATTCTTTATATTTTTCAAACTTTTTACAAACTTTTTTCAACTTAAAACACACTGCATTCAAACTTGACAGAAACAAAATAAAGCTCACCACACAATCTTAATTAGAAAGTATTCTGGCTCTACACATGCACGAAAGAGAGCGCCTGGTGGCCGGGCTTGCTGGAGCCCGGCCGGGCATAGCCCGACAGGGTGACATGGCCACATCTTCATCCCGCGGGCCCACCACTCACGGGAGAAACCACTGGGGTCGGGTGCAATGCCAAATTGGTGGCAGTAAAGGCAGGGGGCCTAGACAGACCAGACCTGGGCACTCTGACTGTTGTTTGTGCCAATGCAACAAACAGCAGTGCAGAGTATTCGGCCTTCTCAGAGACCCTGAACAAAGTCCTGTATAGGGCTCCAGTAGACTCCATCGTTCTCCGGGAGACTTCAACGCACATGTGGGCAATGATGGAGACACTTGGAGGGGCGTGATTGGGAGGAACGGCCTTCCCGATTTGAACCCGAGCAGTGTTTTGTTACTGGACTTCTGTGCTAGTCATGGATTGTCTATACAGAACACCATGTCCGTACATACGGATGCTCAGAAGTGTACGTGGTACCAGAGCACACTAGGCCAAAGGTCTATGATCGATTTTGTGATCGCATCAGACCTGAGGCCGAATGTATTGGACACTCGGGTAAAGAGAGCGGTGGAGCTGTCAATTGATCACCATCTGGTGGTGAGTTGGGTTAGGTGGCGGGGGTAGCCACTGGACAGACCTGGTAAACCCAAACGTGTAGTACAGGTGAACTGGGAACGTCTGGAGGAGGCCCCTGTCCGAGAGACCTTTAACTCCCACCTCCGGCGGAGCTTCTCAGGCATTCCTGTGGAGGCTGGGGACATCAAACCAGAGTGGTTGGTGTTCAAAGTTTCTATTGCTGAAGCTGCGGCTGTGAGCTGTGAGGAGTTCATGGAGAAGGACTTTCAGACGGCACCCAGGCGCTTCTGGAAAACCGGAGGTAATTGGGCGGTGGAAGGAACACTTTGGGGAACTCCTGAACATGACTAGACCAACAAACCTGCCCTCTGTGATAGAGGCAGGGCTGGAGTGTGATGGGGGATCTGCATTAGTTTTCAGTACAGGAGGTCACTGAGGTAGTCAAACAACTCCACAGTGGCAAAGCCCCAGGGATTGATGAGATTCTCCCAGAAATGCTGAAGGCTCTGGGTGTTGAGGGGCTGTCTTGGTTGACACGCCTTTTCAACATTGAAAAAAAAAACATTTCTGAGTGGCAGAGAAAAAAATACTTGCCTGCCAGTGAAAAAATTAATTTCAGATCTTGCACATGACCTAGTGCTCTGCTCTGCTCTGGAAGGCAGTTAGCTGAGCTTAGCTTAGGGGGAAACAGCTAGCCTGGGTGTATCCAGAGTTAAAACAAATCTTCTAACCAGCATGTGTATAAGTGCTCAAAAGATTTAATATGTGATCTTTAGATGTGCTGGTAGGCTTATTTATTTATAGCTGCCGAACTATTCCTTTGAGGAAAAAAGCACAATGTGTCAGGAAGGAAGTTCAAGTATTCATATACTACGTAAAGCTGTAGGGTTCTTTGTTTCTGGAAACTTCCATCTGGAAGAACATAATGTTATTGTTAAAAACAACCTTTCAAATGTGAAACCTTTCAGAATGTAGCATGATGATGATTCATATGATTACATAATTGTTACTTTCTCCTGAAACAGAATAGCTGTCAGAGTAGTTTCCAGGAACTATAAATGTGTGTGTGTTACCTGGTAGCCTGGGTGACGTCGCCCCTCTCATCTCCACACCAGTTGCAGGAGTCGGAGACTTTAAGCAGGTACTGGTAGTCTTCAAACATCTCACATGGAGCACGGAGGCCAAAAAACACTTTGTCATCATGGATGATCCTCTAAGACACACATTAAAGGAAACTTTGGTTTTGTTGATTCATAAAATTCCCACTACATTTCATCAATGTCAGGTGGAAGAAATGACAGTAGAGGAAGCAGACTCACAGTGATCGTGATATTTTTCTTTTGTAGCTGCTGAATGAAGGCTTTCTGTCTCTGAGCCTTCTGGTCTGTGTCATCATTCACCTTGTGGGCGACCAGTACATAGTCAAATGTCCTCTGGGTGGGCTGTTCAAAGACAAAATACCCCCCACGAAAGATATTACGATGTTAAACAGCTTGTATTCGCATTTGAGATGAAAGATGTTTTGGTCAAATCAGGGTTACAAAGACCTCTACATCGTTACACAGCCTGGGCTGTTTTCACCTCCGATGTGTTTGGTTTGTTTGCCTGGTTAGTTTCGTTCTTTTGAGCTGGTGTGAAAGCTAGTAAGTAATCCTCCTGTCATGTTTCTGTTGTTTTTCAAGCATTTGTGGAGTGACCTGCTGTCAGTCACCTGACTCTGATGTGCTGATGACGCAGAATGACACAACAAAACTGTCCAATCAGTCCCAGGGCGCAACAATAAGGATTGCCAGCTTGAGGCCTCTTTCTTGCCCGATCAGGCAAGTGGTAAAAAATAATTATAAACACATTGTTTTTTCCAGAGCTGATGGTGGAAGTAGATAAGGATTGAGCTACCTTGCTTTCTTCAAATCTCTGTTGAGTTGCACATGCGCATTACTGATTGGGCACTTGAAAGAAAATGGCAGCAGGTAAAGACAAAGTTTAAGAGCTAAAGCGCAAGCGAGCATTTCAATTATCCTGGAAACAGGAGTATTAGTTGGGTGGCATTAAAAGATGTGGGTGAAACTTCAACTGTGTTGCACTGTTTGCCACAAGCACAAGAGCAAGCCGGATAAAACAGTAGTTTTTTAAAGGCGCATCAGGTTTACGAAAAATGTTGCTGCAATGCCAAAACAAGATTCGACAGCATCTTGCTTGCATGGTAACTAAGAGGGTTTTTGTTGTTATTTGAAATCACTAATAAGTAAAACAATTTGTATAGGGGAAAGTAAAAATTTCAATAATCAAGATATAACGTGCAAATGAGACAGCTGACATTAACACAAGGGCCTCTAAGGTAAAACTCGATATCTGTTTATGTCTCAGGGTACACAGGGTCAGTGGAACCATTCATTTAAGCAAATATGTTCTCCATTTGCATGTTACTGATGAGGTCTGTCTACAGTTATCTTGTTCATTTATGTAAAGTTCCTCCTCTCATCTAGAGGAGGAGAGTGATGTGGATTCTTACCATTGAAGGAAGTAATGGTTCAGTGTTGTAAACATCCATATGCCTGTCCCACAGCTCAATGTTTTCCTTTAACACACAAACACAAACACACACACACACACACACACAAACAAACAGGTTAGCAGTGAAACTACTCATACAGTACGGTACAGGCATGTTGTGTTATCATACCAACTTGATCGTCTGTAATAAAGTTATGACCAGTCAAACAATAAGATATAATCTGTATTTAAATCCTAACTTTGCTGCTGACAGCAAACATTCATTTAAGGCAACATTGTGCAAGAATTCATGTTGTGTAAAAACATTTTAACCCTAACCCTAACCCAACCACTCAAAGCTCTATACCACATCACACTGACACACCGATGGCAGAGGCTGCCATTCAAGGTGCCAACTGCTCATCAGAAATTAACTAATCGCATTAAAACACACGTACCAATTTGTGGCTCAGTATCTTGCCCATGGACAAGTCAACAAGAAGACTGGACTTATCTGACAGCCTCTTGCTCGGTCACTCTCTCTTTTTGTCATGGCTTTCTCTATCAACTCCTCATTTGCCTCTTTGCAGTGCTCCAAGCTCTCAGTCCTGGCTGCACCACTAACTGAGCTAACTTGTTTAGCAGTTAACTTAGGCATACCAAATCATCAGAGATGAAAAATGAAAATCACCAAGCGTTAATCAGAGATGATCACAGTTTATGCAGCGGTTTGGGGGTTTGAGGCTGGTTAACAGTGGTTAACAACCAGAAAATACTGTTTATTGCTCTTATTAACTGGCTTTCTCACAACCAGCACTCATGCTTTACTCACAACCACTCACTTTCTACTTGATTGGCTTTATTGGCATGATGTTTTAAATCAAACATGTTGCCAAGGAAAAAAACTTCTATAGAATATAAATACTTGTACAATACAATAAAAAAATTACAAATATTCCAATGAAACAAATATTAATAATTAGGGCTGGGAAACTTAACACGTTAATTAATTAACACCGACAATTATTTTATCTCACATTAATGCAGTTTTTTTTTACTATCATTTTGAAAGTCCGTTGCTCACTGGCTCTGAATACACATCCAGACAAACCATGGGTCACAGGAGGGGAGGGGAGGCATGCTTCAGCACACTACGTTGGATGCTGCGTGTGGGAGAATAGAATAGATAAACAAAAGCAAGACAAGCTAACAAATGCCATAGCAAAGTGGATAGCTTCAAACTGCAGGCCGATTAGTATTGTGGAAGATACGATCACAACGAATGATAGCAGGTATGAGCCTCCCTCAAGACGCACCATCACAAGAAGAATGCACGAGTTGTATGAAAAGGAGAGGACTACAAAAGTTACGCCGTTACAATGTGCACCAACTGTTGCTCTCACTGGAGACTACTGGACATCGCTGGGTAACCATAATTACCTCCGAGTTACAGTGCATTATATTGATGGACAGTGGGAGGTGCATTACATGCTCTACTGTAATTAAAACAGAAGAGAGACATTTTGCTGAAACGTGCGCAGAACATCTAATTCATATTGCACAGCAGTGGAACGTTTCAATTAAAGTCAGCACACTTAGCACAGATAATGCAAGAAATATTTTAACTGCTACTGTGTTAAGGGAATACTGTTGTTAAAAAGCAACCTATTTGTTAAAGTTGTGTATAAGTGCAAACCAAATGTTATTGCACTTTTGTTCATATAGCAGTACCTTTAAACTTAAAAGTGCGCAATACACTACTTTTGAATTCATTGTTGAATTTTGCGTTACTCAAAAATCATAATCGTTGCCCAGCAGAATTAATAATATAAGAAAAGGAAAGAAAGAAAAAAAATATCTTAAACTGAAATAAGTCTTGCTTTGTGACATGCTGTAACATATTCTCCTGACAGCTGACAACATGTCATGCTGTCTTCTCCAATAAGGGTTTGAATTAGTTGGTCTTTTGGGAGGGTAAAAAAGTCAGGGATTTTCTGGTTGAATTTGAGGAAGAAGTTTTCTGTAATTCCTTTGTATTTTGGACAACTTATGAGAAAACAAATTTCAGTTTCAACTTCTCCCATTTTACAATGGGTACAAATTATCTTCGTTCTTTCTAGCCATTCTTTTTTATGGTACCCAGTTTCAATAGCAAGTTTATGGTCACTAAGTCTATATCTAGTTAGGGGTTGTCTATTTATAGGATGTTTTATTTTGGTTAAATACTGGGCTAATTGAACATTTCTGTCTAGTATATTATAGCATTCTAGTTAATTTATCGATTGGATTTCTGTTTTTCAGTGCTTGCAATATCTTACTTTATCTTTGTCTATTTGTTTTACTTGTGAGTAGAGAAGATTTTCATAGCATCTGTTTTGCACGTTAATATCATTTCCTCATTTGTTTCATTCCATGTATTTTTTTCTGGGCTCGATAGCTTTGTTGCTTTAAGTATGCTCTGTGTTGGTGTGATACTGAATCTGATTCTATCAAGTGGTTCCAAAATGTGATTCTTTTTTTACTTTAAATAATAGGAAAAACTGGCCCAGCTCTTCTCTGCAGCCGTAGTTTGGACAGATGTACTTTTTCAATTGGGTTGTCGCAGTGCTCTTGATTATTTAATGGGCCCCAAATTTCACTGCCAAAAAAGGATGTGTTCAAAAACACTTTGACAATTTTAAGCCAAATCTTTATTAGGGTGTTTCATTTGAATAGGAATTTTCTTATACTGTAATAACCTCTACAACCTTCATCTGCCAATGCACTTACAGTCTCGGCAAAATGTCCTGAAGCAGTGATAGTGAGGCCTAGGTATGTATACTGTTGTAATGTTGTATGACTTTGTGTTGTATCTCCCAAAATAAACAGATGTTTTGATCTTGCTTTTCTTTTCAATATCATAATTTTAGTTTCATCTTGATTTACTCTGATTAGCCAATTTTCACAGTAATCATGGAGTATGTTCAAACAGTCTTGCATTCCTTGTTCTGTTTGTGATATCAGTAATAAGTCATCTGCATAAAAAAGACACTTAACTTCCTTTTCTTCGACCAAGTCCAAGTCCTGGGGCTTGAGTAGTTTTGATAACTGGTCAATGTTGAAAAGTGATATATTGCAACCCTGTGTGAGAAAGGTCATTTGATCCGGTATGGATGAAGATATGTTCATATGGGGTGGCTGTGGTACAGAGGTAGAGCGGGTCTAATTTGAAGTTTGTTGGTTCGGTCCCCGGCTCTTCCCTGAAGTATCCTTGAGCAATATACTGAACCCCGGGAATTGCTCGCGATTTACCATGTTCTACACCTACAAACAATGGACAGGTGTTCCATGGAATTCTTTGTGGTGGGGCTCCAGAGGTTCATGGATTTTTTTGCTGGGAACAGGCGTGTCATGTTAATGTGTTTCTCATTAGAGTCACAGAGAAACAAGATATCTTTGTATGTGCATTTCTTGATTCCGTTGTTAGGTTGGTGGTCAGCAGAGGTGTGTATGTCTGTTTCTGAGGACTGGAGTCACTGCTGTAGGACTTTACGCTTCAAAAAGTCTTCTCCCTGTGTAGTTTTATTTCTTTATATTTGATAAATATATCAATCAGTGTTCCGTGGCAGTTAGGCTATTGTTAACTTGTTAGCTAGTATTTGCAGTTGTATTTTGGTCTTCTTTTTTTGACTTTGGAACGGAAATATTTCCAGCCACTTAATGTTAGTTTTTACTGCAGACTGCAGCTTCCTTCCTTTCACAAAGTCTGTGTGGGAGGGGTCAGTCACAATCTTACATGTATGCCTCCAGGACGCTGAGTACAGGTGGGAGGGATGGCATATTGTTCTCCCTGTAGTCCACAACCATCTCCACTGTCTTTAGAGCATTGAGCTCCAGGTTTTTCTGGCTGCACCAGGTCACCAGATGGTCAATCTCCCACCTGTAGGCAGACTCATGTCCACCGGAGGTGAGCCCAGTGATGGTGGTGTCGTCCTGACGGACTTATGACTGGAGATGCAGCTCTCTGTCAACAGGGTGAAGAACAGAAGAGAAAGAATGTAGCCTTGGGGGGATCCAGTGCTTATGGTCCCGGAGTCCTGTCAGACAGGAAGTCTGTGATCCACCTGCAGGTCTGTTGTGGCTTTGAAGTGGAAAAGGCACTCGAAAGACTTCATGACTACAGAGGTGAGGGCGACAGGTCTGTAGTCATCTAGTCCTGTGTTCCTTGTTTTTTTGGGGGATGGGGATGATGGTTTGAGGCTTTGAAGCAGGCTGGAATATGACATTCAATTCAATTCAATTCAATTCAATTCAATTTTATTTGTATAGCGCCAATTCATAACAAAAGTCATCTCAGGACACTTTTCAAATGGAGCAGGTCAAGACCGAACTCCTTATAACATGTCTCCAGTGAAGTGTTCAAGATGTCAGTGAACACTGGAGACAGATGATCACCACAGTGCTTCAGGGTTGATGGAGAACACAGCATAACATGAAGTTGTGTTTCCTGAGAAGTTGATATTGTTTCAACTTTATTAATTACACTACCACCACCACCTTCAGTGTTTAATTCAATGCCATGTCTGAATTTCTATAACCTATAACAACTTTAGTCCCTCTGAAATTGATAATCTTGTCGATAGTGCTGCAGGCACACTACGATCAACATTAGACTCTATCGCTCCTATAAAAAGGAAATTATTAAAACATAGGAGACTAGCACCTTGGTATAACCACCAAACCCGCCAGTTAAAACAAATAGCTAGGAAATCTGAAAGGAAATGGCGCTCTTCCAAATTATCAGAATATCGCTCAATTTGGCATGATAATCTTAAAACTTATAGAAAGTCCCTCCGTAATGCCAGAGGAGCCTATTACTCAGCACTAATAGAAGAAAATAAGAATAACCCTAGGTTCCTCTTCAGCACTGTAGCCAGGCTGACAGAGAGTCACAACTCTATTGAGCCACATATCCCCATAAACTTAAGTAACAATGACTTCATGAGCTTCTTCTATAATAAAATTATTACTATTAGAGAGAAGATTAATCACCAACTGCCATCAACAGTTATCAGTGGCTCTCCAAGTTCAGGTACTTCTACCAAT